CTATAATATGTCTGTAATGTGTATATCTGACATGAACATCCAGTGGATCTGTAGTAATCAGATTTTTTTGTTCTGCATACATTGGCCAGTCAAATCCCTTACAAATTACATTACATATGCTCATGTGGGAAAACTAATCCAGCTCCAGTAATGCTTTAGTGAGTCGCTGCATACTTTTGGGTGGTTTATGTGGTTCAGTGTTCAATCAGTTCCTCCCTGCACCAAACTCACATCTTTCTGATAGATCTTCACGATAGAAACACTGACACAGCTCTAGACAAACTCACACAGAACATCACTCCGGTGTTTTGTGAGAGCTGACTAGATTCTTAATTCACTGCTCCTCCTCCTTGCTTTCGGCTTGTTTAGACTTGGCTGGATATTCAGGGAAATTCTCCAGAGAGCGCGAGTCTTTATTTTGTTTTCTGAAGAAGGACAGTGTCGGGCTGAAGGGGTGGGTGGATTGGCGGGGCAGTAACTTTGGAATGGTCGTCTGGCTGAGTGTAGAGAAGGGGATGACATCCAGGGGACCCTCATTTTGAAAAGGCAGAGGTCTGTCTGCTGGGTGCTTTGAAGATGTGGCACAGCAGGCTTGAAAAGGCCCCAGCACAGATGTTAACACTGCCATGGAATCACACATTCACCCACCATGGTGTAAACAGGCTGACTGGACGATAACTCAGCTACACACAGAGAGCCAGCACAGACAATAAATGGCCCAGGGATTTTTGTTTTTGTGAATTTTACACATAGTTTGAAAACACATTTATTTTCCTCTGCGGTTCTCATAGCACAGCAGTGAGTCCCACAGCTTATAAAGGTGACGCAAGAAAGTTATACCTAATTTCTTCTATTTTGCAAATTAAGGTACTTTGTAAACACATTTGTTGTTATGTCACTATTTTAGAGATAAAAAATACGATTTGATCATAAAGGAAATAAACTGGTGTTTAGATCAAAGGTGGTATTTACAGCATTACAAAATAATCCACTAAAGATTAAATCTTTGAACCTCAAAGTCCCTACTTCCCAAATCAGACGTGGATTATTTTAAGCCTACTATACAGAAATCAAAGCAGTGTGCTTATATTTTATTTACTTGTTTATCTATTTTAATAAGGAGGGGAATCCAACTGAGACCAAAGGCTCATTTTCCTCATTTCATCCTCACTTACAGAATACACATGTACAACATGCACAGCTCTTCTACAAAATGCAGAACGCGTAGAACACTTCACATGAGCAGCATTTTATATAGAACAAGTGCAGTGCTGTGTAAAATACATATTTAATATGTTTTATACTGGGTTTCATCTGTTTGCAGTTCAGCATTTAAATTATTCAAGGCCTGTGGAGTTTTATCAACGGCATAATTTGGTTTTACCTCTTGTGGATTTGTTAATATGGAGGGTCTCCCAAAACCTAAAAAAACACTGCCTAAAAATACATACAATACTCTGTGAAAGTCGGAGACCACCCTTTCATTTTTTCTTTTGTTTCAATCAATACAAGTATCAAGTACAAGTTATTAAGTACAAGTTATTTGTCGGTAAAAATTAAGACATCAATCAAGTAAACAATCTGTGGTTTCTTGGAACACAGACTTCAACATCATTGAATGTGTTTGGGGTTATTTGGATAAGAAGAAAATGCAACCAACTTCTAAGACTGAATGTTAGACCGAATTGCTGGTGATGTGTTTTCATGCCAGCTGCTTGGTCATAAAGAGCTTAAAGTGTGCTTTATCCTTTAATTTAGTTTACATTGAGAACTAAATTACTAATAAACTAAGGAGCTACTAAGGAGTGTACAGAGAGAGCTGAAGGTGAGATTGAGGGACTGCAAGGAGGCCTATAAAAGGATGCTGGAGCGAAGACTTCTGCAAAACAGTGCAAAGGAAGTGTGGGCTGGTATGAAGATCAATGGCTTCAAGACAAAGCAACAAACTGTTGGGGGCAGTTTGGACACAGCCAACGAACTGAATGTATTCTTCAACAGATTCAGAACGACACCATCCCCCTCCATCGGCACCGGCACCCCCCCACTCTCCCTCCACCTACACCTCTCTCATACCCCTGTTCACACCCCCCCTCTTTGCAGCCATTGCCTGAAGAGTCACCCCCCTTGAGGTGACAACCAGCCAGGTAAAGAGACAGCTGGAGAAGCTGAAAGTGAGCTGAGCTGCTGGACCGGATGGGATCAGCCCAAGAGTCCTGAAGGTTTGTTCCTCTCAGCTATGTGGGATTCTTCAGCATCTCTTCAACCAGAGCCTTAAACAAGGGCGTGTGCCAGTGCTGTGGAAAACATCCTGCCTGGTTCCTGTTCCAGAGAAGTCCTCTATCTCCTCTTTCAATGACTACAAACCAGTGGCCCTTACATCCCATGTCATGAAAGTCCTGGAGAGACTAGTGTTGCCACATCTCAGACCTCAGGTCAGCTCTTTCCTGGACCCCCTGCAGTTTGCTTACCAATAGCAGGTTGGCGTGGACGATGCTGTTATTTGCCTACTGCAGAAGGCACATTCCCATTTGAACCAGAACAACACCATAGTGAGAATAACTTTCATTCAGTAACATCCAGCCTCTCATGCTGGGGGAGAAGACAGAGACAGTGCAAGTGGACAAGTCCATAATTGCATGGGTCTTGGACTACCTGTCTGGAAGACCCCAGTATGTGTGGTCAGGAACCTGCCTGTCAGACCATCTGGTCAGCAGCATTGGAGAACCTCAGGGAACTGTGCTCTCCCCCTTCCTCTTCACCCTGTACACACAGGCTTCCAATACAGGTCGGACCACTTCCACCTTCAGAAATCTTCTGATGACTCTGTGGTGGTTGGTTGCATTAGGGATAGGTAGGAAGGAGAGTATAGGAACCTTGTGGAAAGCTTTGTTGAGTGGTGTACCAGGAACCACCTGATCTTCAGTGTGACCAAGACCAAGGAGATGGTGGTGGACTTCAGGAGGAAGAAGACCACAATCAGTCCCATTACCATCATGGGTCAGAACGTTGGGCTGGTAGACACCTACAAATATCTTGACAACAAACTGGACTGGAGGGCCAACACAGAGGCTGTGTACAGGAAGGGGATGAGCAGTCTCTACTTTCTGAGAAGGCTCAGGTCCTTTAATGTGTGCACCAAGATGCTGGCGATCTTCTACCAGTCTGTTGTTGCGGGTGCTGTCTTCTTTGCAGCAGTCTGCTGGGGAGGTGGCATCACTGGATGGTGGTGGTTGAAAGGAGGTCACTTAATAAACTCACTGCTATCCTAAACAATACATCACACCACCTCCATGACATTCTGGTTAGACAGCAGAGCACCTTCAGCAACAGACTCAGTCAGCTTCGCTTTAGCAAGGAACAGTACAGGAGGTCATTCGTACCAACAGCAATCGCACTGTGCATCTATCTATCTATCTATCTATCTATCTATCTATCTGTCTATCTATTTATCTATCTATCTATCTATTTGTCTCTCTTGTCATCACAAAGCAGTGTTTACTGCAGAAACCCACTAGCACCGTGCTGATTTCCTCTAGTACTCCATAAAATTTCATTTTATGTTGGCACCAAACTAAGTGTTTATTCACATTTTATGGCATTTATTCCAAGCTACAGGCATTCAAGTAACATATTCTTGGCATAACATATTCGTATGTTGTTCCATTACAGTAACTCATTTATTAAAGACTGTAAATGAAAGTCTGTGTTTAAATATTTTGGAAGAACCCTGTTAGGTAGCCAACTATCTGCTGATCTATTCAGCCTACTCTAGTGTGGACCAAATGTATTCCAGTCACAGAGAGCCTGTTAGCAGCATCCACAACTCTCCCAGTACTTTTAAACATGCACTTTTAACAAGTCAGTGTTAAAGATTCCTTACATCACTCCAATATTTTGGGTGTGTTATAGCCAATAACATCACAGCTGTTATTCAGTCATGGCGAATGCTATAGATCATCACATAGAGCTAATAGCATGAAGAACAGGCCATGGTGAGACTGAATAGGGGAGGGTGAAAGAATACTAGAATGACCCCCACACATCCTTTGAGACCCATAGTGTTGAGTTGTCTTCCCACAGTAGAAGGGTGGACTGAAACATCTGTGGATTTGTTCAGATCTGAAGCAAAAGTGGAGCCTGATTTTCTCCTCTCTCTCAAAGATGAAAGCTTTAAGTACTGTTTATCAGGTGGTGACAGTTTTGGTGGTCTACGAGTTCTCACACAGTTGTTAGGAGTCCCATTTTCTCTGTATCTTTCAATCATTTTTTGAACTCCAGATTTGGAAACTCCTGTTGCTCACTTATCTTCCTTTGACTTCCTTATGGAAGTGGCTTATTTCATATCTAATCTCCTCAGAAATATCTCATGAAAAATGAATAACTTGTACTCAATGGCTCTTTAGCTAGAAATTATATAAATGCACAGTAATGAACCGTTCCCCACTGGTCGTTTACACTACTGGGCATTTATTCATTGGGATATAGTTTAGGTTCAACTAAAGTGGAATGATGTTCTGCTTCTGTTTGCCGTCCTTGTCATGTGAATTACTGTGAAAAGTTCTATCCTGTCCATTTGGGTAATGCTTGCTGCACTTCTGGACTTGCAGAAGAAGCAGGAGACGAAGATGGAGGGCAGGATTGCAGGGGTAAACTCTTATAATAGCTCATTGTCTGTGAGGATTTCTTTCTATAGCAAGTCAATATTTCTACTAAATCCAGTATCAGTATCAGAATATTTTGTTAATGGCCCTGTTCGGTTTAGCTGATATAGAACGTTCATATAATGTGGAGTTTCTTTAAGCTTCTCCACTTGCACATCTCATTTACAAAAGATGCTATTTCAAGAATCATACACTGAGAGGTTCTTTAGGGAACCAAAAATGGCTCTTCTGTGGCATTGCTTTAAAGAACTCACTCTTATTTTTAAAGGTATACAGCCTTATTCCTGCTATACTTACCAGTTTGTCTGACATATGTTCTCTTTTCTCCTGTTTTCTCAGGCCTATGTCAGCACGAAGCATGAGGGTGACAAGGTGATCACTTTTGAGAGAGCTAACGTCATTTTCATCTTCAACTTCCACCCTACGAACAGTTATAGCAGCTACAGAGTGGGAGTGGGCCCACCAGGAAAGTATCCTTAAACCATCACCTGTTGCATTCGTTGAGTATTAGATTTCCTGGATACAGGAACCAGTACTGGGTACCAGTACTGGTTAAATGACTGTGTCCTGAGTGAACGTATGTGAACATATGTGTTTGTATAACACTATATGTGAAGACTACCTACAGAGGGCTTTAACACTTGCATTAGCACTGAATAATCTATTTAAAAAGCAGTAATTTAATATTTATGAAAAGCTTATATTGACATTCACAAAATTAGCTAATATATTTTATTACATAAATGACTTTGTGTTGGCATAAGGGCCCTTAAACTAAGCCTTTAAAAATGTCTCTATAGGTTTATGATAGTTGTCATAAAAGACTGACCTTCAGTAACGTGTTACTAACTAAATTAATGGACAACTCTTTCATTTTTCATTCTTTCATTCAACTCTTTCACAACATTGTTAAAAAGCATCATTTCCGGGTAATGGAACTTAGAAAGCTGAGGTCTCGTTATAATACCATGCATCAGTCCTCTGATCGGTTTTGATGCAAACTTAATTAGCTTAAGTAAAATAGTTATAGTTCAAGGTAATCTTTTTAGCACCAATTGTGACACTTGAAGGCTATCTGTGTAGGGACTTCATAACAAATGCATAAGCATTGAATAACAAATATAAAAAGCAGTACTTAATTATTTATGAACAGCTTATGTCAGTATTCCCGAGATGACGTAAGATATTTAATGAAGTAAATAACCTTAAACTAAAGCGTCAGATATTTGTTCCATTTATAACACTGTTAAGAATAACTTTCAAGGCAGAGGCCTAGTTAAGAAGACCATATATTGTATGACTTTAGTATCAGTTCACTTAAGGACTGTGTTTATAATGCTACATTACACCTATGTAAACATTTGATGACAGCTGACATGAATCTATATAAACATTTATACAGACGTATTCCAGTGCTTACTCTGATTTTGCTGTCTTTAAGGCTGCTTTTGCCAAAGTTGATGTCAAGTTAACATTGACAAAAGCTATTTGTTGTTGTCATTCAAAGCAGATTATCTTTTCACCTTTTAACAGATTATGCTGCATTCGTATAATGTCACTATTTTTGGCCAATGTTCACACACTGATAGCTTAACTAAACCCACAGGTACAACCAGATAAAACGAAATGCAAAAGGCTTACCTGATTTTAGACAATAAAGCTTGCTGTCTATACGTAGCCCAAAGAGTGGCTGGAGGGCTCCTTTGCGGTTTTCTTATGTTGACGCCGTAAGGAAAACTCCCCAATTGTAGATGCCACTATTAAAAGCTTGAACTTTGGACTTTGGAAGAGTTTGCCATGCCTTTTCTGTGTTCTGCCTGGGAGCTGTGTAGATTTGCATTTAGCCTGAGTGGCAGCGAGTCTCAGTGGCTTCCTTAGCTGTTTGAGCTTAAAAGAGATATGTGTGCTAGAAATGACATGGAGGAAATGCAAAGAGCATAGAGGCCACATTCAATAGCTGTGATTATGAGAGCGAGAAGAAAACGCACACAGTGGGAAATTCAGGGCTTTGCAGTGAGTTTGTATTCATGTGTGCGTGTATAAAGTTAAAACGTGCTGCCGTGAGCATGGTGACACTGCTCTGTGAAGGCGAGCAGGAGCAGAGGATCCAATTAGAGCAGAAGACAGATGAAAGTGCCACTCTGACTCGGAGGAGGTAAACAAGGCCGGCCCAGCGAGTCCAGAGTGCTTTTTCATTAAACCTCAGCCTTTCACACACACACATACACACAGAAATGCACACATACACGCAAACTTCTATTAGAGAGTGCCAGGGCGCAGAGCAAAGTCATGCAGTCTTGTGTCTTTGGATTGATTTCAGAAGTGCATGTGTAGGTGGAAAGGGCTGTCGCTGCTGCCATAAAAAGGAAGAGGGTGCTAGATAGATTGCATCTGCTGATATTGGCCATTTACAGAGAGCAAGAGTGGCTCAGAGAGACTTCGCAGCCCAGGTCTATGAACTGGATGGTAGTTTTGGAAGTGACTGAACTTTTGGAGTGTCTGCTGACAGCCTGAGCTTTGTGTATGACTCTGGATCCAACACTGCTAGCCTGCTTAAAGCTCTGGTGAGTAAAACAGGTTTCAAATCATTGATTGTTTATTGAAGTCTAAGAAAACATGATGAAACATTTTTTTTTGCCCTTGGAACATCAAATGTGAGATCTTCGGTATTCACGGAATGATTTTATTTTACTTGTGTGTAAAACCTTGACCTGATACCTTACCCGATACCTGGCTTCATGGTCATTTTTAGGTCAGTTTTACTTTCATGATTTTTAATAATAAGTTTTCAGCGCAAGATGCTAAGTTTTGAATTAGTTGTCTGTTATCAGTTTTGATTGCTTTGGAATTATCTGGATTTCTACATGAATGGCTCCTGTAGTGTGATCTGATCTTAATCTATGTCATAGTAATACATACAGGTGGTTTTATTTAAACAAAGTGCACACGGCCATTTTATAATGCCATGTCTTCATTGCACAATCAAGGTCATGGATGAATCAGTCAAGATCGTGAATAGAGCAGTCAAAGCTACAACTGGAATGTGAACCCCTGTATTTAACCAGAGGAACATGTTTATTTGAATTGACCTCACTGAGATGCTTTCTTCATGTGCTGTCTGTGAGACCAGAGCAGAGGTTAGGAGGTACTTTGGCCCATTCCTCTATACAAAACAGATTCAGTTCAAGTATAGTTTTGGGATGTCCAGCTTGAAAGCAGTTCATGGCAGTGTTCTGAGTTTACTTGTTAAAAATATGGATTTTTATCCATTTGGGTTGCTACACCTGTGCTACCTGTGTGAGCTGCACCTGTTTGTTGTATCATTTCTCATGTTACATGAACCAACATGACAATGTTTGTGATTTTAGATGACAAATAGATAACCTCACAGTCGGTTTTAGAATTCCCTGATAAAGCTTATTACAGACTGTCCAGGCCTTGATCACACTTAACGCAGTCTCATACCTTGACAGCTACTCCACAATGCTTCACTGGGCTGGGGTTTTGGTCTTGTTATACTTCTTGAATAATGTAATAAAAAAAAAAACACACAATCCTAAAGAGAATGTTGTTAAATGACTCTGTCTCCACTACACCGCATCTACTGTATATTTGTTTCTGTTCTTTGCTACTACAAAACAAGTGCGTCCACTGAGTACCAGTGTTGGATCAGTACTAGGTGTTCACCAGTTGTCTGATCAGTATCAATATCAGGAGAGAAAAAGTTGAATCAGTACAATCCTAGTTATTACGAGACGTAATTGGGTAGATTTACCAAACAATTCAAATTTCGCCTGAACTTTTGTCTACAGGACATTTTCCCAGGAGTGCCTTGGTGCAATTGAGTGGTCTCTAGCAAACCTCTGTGATAAGCTTCTGTTCTTCTGGTAGACTGGTGAACGCAGCCGTTACCAAGTGCAAGAGATGCCTGCAGCTGTCACCGTTTGGGTTCGGTTTTACTTGTTTCGGGATTCTACTTTGTGCTCTTGCTCTGACTTTTGTAGGGCACCTGCTCCTAGGAGAGCCTTGGTGTTGAATTTCATTATAAGCTGCCTGATGAAGGTGCAAGTCTTTGGAAATCCTTCAGTAACCATTGCCAGTCTTATGAACTTTGCTCGTGAGGCCCTCTGAAATCCCCTTTGATTGCCCCTTGCTGCACTTGAACAGAAATCTGTTGCAAAGAGCAGGTAACCAAAATTGTGTTTGTTTTTTATAATGCAGGGCAGGTCAAATCCATACCTGAATTGATTGAAGTGACTCCAATTACCCTCTTTGAAAGGGGTCATTATCCAAGACGTTCACATGCTTTTTCCATCAGTGACCTTGGCAGTTTAAACCATTTGTTCACGAAAGCTATGGCAGTTTAAAAATGTTGTATAAGATGTTTGTTAAATAGTACAGTCTGTATACTTATTATTATTGTTATTATTATTGTTATTATTTATTCATTTGTCTGGAAAATTTTGTGTTAAGCATGCAGCTTGATTCACGTTTATCTGTTTTTATTTGCTTGAGTTTATGTAGTTTTTTTTTTGTTCACTCCAGCCATAACAGGTAGAAAGTTTCTGGAAAACAGACGCAGCCAGCTGACTGTACCACCTCATATAACCCCTCTTGTGTAACTCCAGCAGGATGAGCACCATTCTTGGCTTTCAAACTTCCTCCATTCAGAAAAAAAGAAGTTTGAAAAGAAAAGAATGCGAGTGTTTCCCCTGAGTTAAGTGCTCCGCTATAAAGAGCAGCCATTAAAATTCTGTTGACATCAGCTTTTGACAGGCGCTCAGACCTTCTTTTTTTGTATTATTTTTCTTTCTTTCCCTCTTTCTCTTCCTCTGTCAATGGGTGCGTTCTTCAGGTGCTTCAATACATCCAGCTGATTGGAGACTTGTAATTCCCAGTTGGATATCGGCATGAAAGCACTAGCTGTCAAGACTGATGTGCTTTTGATAGGACAGCATGGCAGCAGGCTGCTGCGGCAGTGTCAGGTCATCCCTCTCTTATTATCTGTCAGGTACATTTACCTGCACGCCACTCCGAATAATTCAGCCATATCAGCAGCTCCTCCCTGAATATATAACAACCAGACCCTCGGGCAAAACATCAGCAACACGTCTCACAACAGCAAACAGTTGTCTGACTGTCTTATGAATAACAATGTAATCAATTTGATGAAAATCCACCACAGAGGCTTAAGAAGCATAAGAAAGGCTATAAGAGTCATGACATTGACTCTGTGACAGTTCATTAACCAGTACTGGGGAGGCTGTTTGTTGTATACATTACTGTACAAAAGTCAGAGAACACTGTTCATTTATTTCATTTCCAGTTTAAACAGCCATTAAGTACAAGTTATTCATTTTACAGTGATGTTTCTTAGGAGATTAGCTAATAAATAATCCACTTGCATAAGGAAGGGGAAAGTTTTCAAAACATAGTTTCAAAAATTATTAAAAGATCCAGAGAATATGAG